CATTATAGTTTAATGTTATAGTTGAAATTATGTAGTAATTCCTGCAATTTTTTTTTGTTCTTAAGGTGTTTGGTACGTTCTTACTATTCTTTTCTTTCTCTATTCATCTGAAAAGATTTACTTTCCCTATTATTTTCTTGGTTATGTTTATGATTCTCTTCTGTGTGCTGTATTTCTTTGAGCATCTTCTGTTTAGTGGTCACATAAGTTCCTTTCATTTCTGTTTACTATAAGGAGTTTCTTGTTGCTGTTATTGTTTTGGTTGGTCATGGGGCTTGAACTCTGAGTCTGGGCACTGTCCCTGAGGTCTTTTGCTCAAGGCGAGTGCTCTACCACTTGAGCCACAGAGCCACTTCTGGTTTTCTGGTTGTTAATTGGAGATAAGTGTCTCATGGACTTTCCTGCTTGGGCTGGAATTGAACCGCAATCATCGGATCTTAGCCTCTTGAGTAGCTAGAATTACAGGCGTGAGCCACCGGTGCCCAGCCCAAGTTTAAATTTTTTATATGAACTTATTGTTTTCCTAGGCTTACCTTAAACCAGTCTTCCCAGTCACTACTTCCTTGGTAGTAGGCATTAAATGTGTGAACCACTATATTTGGTCCTATTTATTTCTCTTAAGTAGTTCTACTTTGAAGCATTTCAAATATAAGTGTTTTCCACAATATTTTCATTTATCATTTTATTAACATTAAATATTGCATAAAAATGTTGCTGAATATCTCAGACCATCATATATTGATTCAGCCAGAATAGTTAGCTCTCTTTTAACACCTGCAGCTTTTTTGTATTGCATCCAAACATTTACACAACATAACTGCAAAAATGGTTGCTTTTAACTAGATGGGCATGAAATATCATATACATTCATAGCTAATAGTATTCTAAAAATGAACCTTATATCAGGAGAAATTTTTCACAGAGATAATACTGAACTGTAATTAGTGCATTTGATATCTTCTTTAGGTAAAGAAAGGCCTGAAATCCAACTAGTTTGTGCTGCCTTTTAAGTAAAATAACCACTGAACTTATGGATGCTTTCCAATACAGATTGTATTCAATTTAATGAAAATATACTATATTTGAAGAATTTTACCCTGACACTCTCAGACAGTCTTGTAGGCCATTAAGTACTGAACAGACAGAGTCATCCAATCTGGTCAAATAAGCCAATTACATGTAGAGAGGGAATGTTTGCATGCTCATTGTTTGAAATAATGTGCAAGGTCAGACACATTCACAGAATTCTCAAAAAAATCATTCTAAGACAAATTAAACATTTATTCTAGGATGTACTCTGTTAGGTAAAATTAATTACTTTGGTAATTTAAAATATTCTTAAGAAAATAGTTATAAACCCTTTTAATTTTGCTATAAACGTAAATATGGCTTGAGAGCAAATGTGTATTTTCTTATTTCTATTTGATTCTTCACCCATGTTAACATTTCATACCAATAGCTCTATCTTTAAACTTGTTATCACTTCAAATCTCTCTAGCTCTGAAATATTAAGTTCCAATAAGTATGGAAAGGACAAAATGGTTTCCTGTGTCTGGAGACATAGTAAGGACACTATCAGTCTGCACTGAACTCCTCTCTCCGTCTCCAGAAAGAGAGCTGAAGAATGTTCTCCTAGTGAACATCATTCCTTTATACCACTCATATACATTGGTTTCAATCGGTGATGATTTGGCAACAACCAAATTGGGCTACAGCCAATGAATCAGGAATTTTAGATGTTTTCACAATAGAGGTTTTTATAAATAAAAATGTATGGAGTGATTGTAATTAGGAATACATACAGTGATTTATAAAAGTTGGTTCAGGAGTTTCTTTAGTAACTATTCATCTAGAAAGGGAAAGTTTAAATATCAGAATGAACCATCCACTGAAACACTGAAATGAAGAATAGCTTTAAAAGAATGAATAAAGAATAATGGAATATTAAGTAAATTCCCAACTACTAATACAGAGTTGGTTGGAATCATTATGTATACAATGTTAAAAATAGACATCAAATGCAAAGCCAGAACAAAATAGAAAGCACAAAATAAAAAGTTTATTTGTACCCAAATATATTAGTTGTTACAGTAAGTGTAAAGTAATGAAATGCTAACTGCTCTGAGTAATATAAAAGTATTGCCATACGCTCTTGAAATAACACAACATACATCCAAATCAGAAGCTTATAAGCAAAAGGATAAATGAATGTATAAGAATATGTAAAATAGCAATTAACTATTACTTAAGAGTATTTCTGTGTCATTCAATATTGCACAAAATAAAATTTCTAGGAAGTGAAGCATAGAGATAAAGAAGATTAGTTCATAGTAACAAAAGCTTCAACACATGCAATTTAAAATTTGTGTCTTTAATAGCATAGCATTGAATTAAGTAAAATAAACAGGAGACAGCCTACAGGACATTTTTAAACCACTAATACCCTTTAAAAGATGTTGATCACTATTCTAAGTTAATCCCCTCAGTCCTCCGAACTTCATGCTCTCACTATGCTAATCCATTTAATCGCTCTGACCATTTTTCCTGTGTCTGGAACACCCTTGCTATGGCTTGACTACTTTCTGTGGATCCTTGAAGACAGAGTTTGAATATCATCTTTCTTCAAAAGCCTCTTCTATCTTCAAGAACTTCCTTTCATACTTCATTGTGTAACACCATAAAAAAATGAAGACAATTTTGTTCTTGCACATCTAAAATTTCTTTCTCTTTTTAGAGAATCTACAGACCAGGTTGACTAAATGAATGATACTTGAAATAATAGGGTAGTTAAAAAGTATGTGCTACTAGCCTTGAGCTGAAGAGCTGAGGAACAGTGCTTAGGCCCGGAGTTCAAGCCCCACGACGTGTGTGTGTGTGTGTGTGTGTGTGTGTGTGTGTGTGTGTGTGTATAAATGTAGTCATATATATATATATGTGTGTGTGTGTGTGTGTGTGTGTAGTCATATATATGCTAAAGAAGCAAGAAGGATCTGCCAACAGAGTATTGAGAAAGTTGAGTGATATTAAAACATGGGCAAAATAACATGTGAAGAATAGCAGACTAGGTACTTGTAGGGTTTTCCTACAATATAATATCATGTACAGTTATATACAGTTATAATATCATGATATTTAGAGGGAGAGAGAGGCAGAGACAGAGACAGAGACAAAGGAAGAGAGAATGTCAATTCACAGAAGGGTCCTACAAATCCAGTTAGGAATGGCATTGTGATGTATAGTATGGCACTGATTATTTGCGGTTTCCTTGATAGAATCAATGAACTATATTAACAGGGCCCAATAAGAAATTTTTATATACTACAACCATGGAAAATCTTAAGGAAAGGATTTTATTCTGTGTATTTTAAATAATCACAGAGCATATTTTGTGCATTTTTGTTTGCTTACTTGTGTGTATATGTGTGTGGAGGGGGGGGGGAGTCTGTGTCTGTGTCTATGTCTGTGTGTGTGTAGGTAGGTACTAAGTCTTGAACTCAGAAACCAGGTATTGTCCCTTAGCTTTTTTGGTAAAGGCCTTCACTCTACCATTTGTATCGCAGCTCCATTTCCAGTTTTGGTTTGTTTTGGTTTGTTTTCTGGTGAATTAGAGATAAGGCTCTCATAGACTTTTATATTAGAGATAAGGCTCTCATAGACTTTTATATCATACTGGCTTCAGACTTTGATGTTTAGCTCTCAACCTCCTGAGTAGCGAGGATTATAGGTATCCAGTTCTTGTGCACTTTAAATGAGTGTATTATAAATATTGGAGTGGGGCGCCAGTGGCTCATGCCTGTAATCCTAGCTACTCAGAATGCTGAGATCTGAGGATTGCAGTTCAAAGCTAGCCCAGGCAGGAAAGCCTATGAAACTCTTAGCTCCAATTAACCACCAAAAAACCAGAAATGATGCTGTGGCTGAAGCAATAGAGCGCTGGCTTTGGGCTGAAGAAATCAGAGACAATGCCCAGGCCCAGAGTTCAAGCTCCACAACCAACAAAAAATAAATTAAGTAAATAAATAAATATTGGAAACCTCATCCAAACTAAAAGAGGTTGGGTACTTAAAGCAACAAGTTTAGTTACATAAAAAGTCAAAATTATGACAGAGAAATAAGGCTTTGCAATGAGTAGAAAATAATGTCTTACCTGAGGTATAATTTGCCAAGTTTGCTTAAGGTTTCCCATGATATGATGAATTGCAGCCAAATGATATCAAACTAAATAGAAAATACTCATAAAATTATGTTACCTATTCTATTAATCCATGAGTATTCAGGAGCCAAAAGACTGAGATTTACAAGGGAAACATTACAATTCACTGACTCAAACCAATAGCATTATCTGCTTCAAATTCGCTTTCTAGTCGAAGCCTTTGCTATATTCTTTCTTTGTTCTACATCAAGAGTGTCATTGATGGCTATATACATAAGCAGTCATGACAATGTTTTTCTTTCAATGCATTTTATTGTAAAAATACTGTAGAGAGGTTACAGCATTGTTGCCTCCTCCTTTGTTTTTCCCTTACCATCCCTTCCTTCCCACCTCCCAAACTACTCCCTCCTCTCCCACCTGCCGAAATTGTAAAGTTCATTTTCAGCACAGTATCTTGTAGATATCATTGTTACAATGGATCAACCTGCATCCCTATTTAAGCATTTTGTTTCTTCTCTTCCCTCCCCCAAATTAGGAAAATGTATATACAAGATGCGGGGCACTGTATTTCATTCTGGTGCCATGACAATGTTTTCTATCTGAGAACTGTATGAAAACAAAACAAGACAGCAACAATTTTGCTTGTTTAAACTGCAAATACTTTTGAAAGGCCATGGGGCTGACTCATTGCTCATGCTCAGAAGATTCAGTTCCTTAACTTACCTATGCTCTCCACCCACTTCCCTCCTTGTTAGTGACAAGGGTGGGTTAAAAATGGATTCACGTAAAAAGAATAGCCAGTGAGATTCCATCGTTGACTGCCTCATCTTTGGTTTTTACGTTACAGATCCTCCTGCAGTGGAACCAGGATTCCTGGAAATTCGGCAAGGACAGGATCGCAGTGTCACTATGAGCTGCAGGGTACTGAGAGCCTACCCGATCCGGGTGCTGACCTATGAATGGCGCTTGGGTAATAAGCTGTTACGAACCGGTCAGTTTGATTCTCAGGAATACACAGAGTATCCAGTGAAGAGTCTTTCCAATGAACACTACGGAGTTTACAATTGCAGCATCATCAATGAAGCCGGGGCTGGGAGATGCAGCTTTCTTATCACAGGTGCGATTTGAGATATTTTGTTTTTCAATACATTTCATCTTCTCAGGCCAAAATATCTTAGGCTTATGCCAGTGGGAGAGTGAAAATGTTTTATAAAGCCATGGAACTTCTACTTTTTTCTTTGTAAGTCTCTATTAGTAGAGAAAATAGCCTTTGTGCCCATGACATGAAGCAGAAGTTTATGAGAAAGCACAGGAAGTGAACGATGAGATTGGATATTTTGAGCATTTCAGTAATACTATAACACATCTTTTAGATCAGATTGCAAAAGTGAATAGACACCTGGTGTTAATAACAGGTATGTTTATTTTATTTTTTATTTTTAGTGGGTTTTTTTGTTGTTATTACTGCACAACTTACAGTGTCTTACTCACAAATGTATTAAAGAAAATAAATAAATTTGTATCTGGCATATAAAAAGTTGAAAAGAAGTAGTACTTGTGCTTCATATAATTTTCTTCTTAACATTTTCTTTCGGTATAGTCTTAAATACTTGTCTAAATTATTTCATAATCTAAAGCAAAATTGTTAAATTTGAGCCAGGGTTAAGGCTATATGAAAAGAAAATTCACATTTTCATCCTTGCTTTATCCAAAATACAGTTAATTTTAGTAGAGGGAGGACTGTGCTAATATATGGAGAGATTTTATTAGGTGAAGGACAATTAAAAATGATTAAAATATCCAATTTATAATATTAACCTTTTAACTACTATAGAATTCTCTGCATATGAATTGGCTTTGAGTCACTTTTGTTTCCTGACATGTAACATTAAATTAAGAAAATATACCTGACTCAACAAAGAAGGGCTGGGAATGTGGCTTAGTGGTAGAGTGCTCGCCTAGCATGCATGAAGCCCTGGGTTCGATTCCTTAGTACCACATACACAAAGAAAAGCCAGAAGTGGCGCAGCACTTTAAGTGGTAGAGCACTAGCCTTGAGCTGAAGAGCTGAGGGACAGCGCCCAAGCCCAGATTCAAGCCCCAGTACTGGCAAAAAAAAGAAGTCTTCCCTGCTTTATGTTGCTATCTCCTGATTTGCTAATACTTTTGATTATGTATCATTTAAATATAAGGCTTTTCTATTTTGATTCTTAACATAAACTGTTTCTAGGACAATATAGATTTATATGATGTTCCAACTGCTAATTTAATAATACTTACAAAAAAAAGTAACTATAGACTATTAATCAAGCAGATTAAATGATCTGGATTAAAAATATTTCCAAAGCAACTCTTTTCCGTGTGTTAGTACAAAGAATCTGATTTTCATTCCCCAAATCTCAAAAACATAAATGCACTATAAAATAAATTCCATTTCTTCCATTATTCTGTCCTTACATGTAATTAATGTTCTTGGGTGACCTTGTTTTCTAAGTTTGGGCTTGAAGGTTTAGATTCATATTACTTCTAACACAACTTTCATGTGCTGCCTACTATGTGATTCAATATTTGAAGTAGAAGATAAGCTAAAACCTGAAGAAACTTTTAGCTCTATTTTTCCATTCCAAATCCATGGTGTGTACCACAGAGAGTTTGTTACCTGTGGGAGGGAATAAACCTGTTATGAGTTTTCTCATAGAGGTAAAAGAAATAGCCACATGCATTTTTATCAATTTGTGCTTTGCAATATTGAGGTCAATCTTATTGTTTCAAGATCTCCACATACAATGAAATATTATTTTCTCATAGAAGAGGAAAAAATAGTCACATGCATTTTTATCAATGTGTGCTTTGCAATATTCAGGCTAATCTTATTGTTTCAAGATCTGCACATACAATGAAATATTCTTTTGAAAAGCAGAAAAAGAAATGACTGAGTCACCAAAATAGATACATACAGGCATACGTGTGTGTGTGTGAGTGTGTGTGTGTGTGTGTGTGTGTGTGTGTGTGTGTGTATACAGAAGTTTCCATTGACTTTTATCTGGAAGGATCTTATCTTTGAAAGACAATTGTCTTCCTGTACTAAAATACAGTGTTAGGAATCTTTATGAATTTTCCACCATGAAAACTCCTCTATGACAACATGAGAGCTACAGAATGGAAAATATAGAACAATGCCTATGCCCTTAATCTAATACGCAGATTTTGAAGACAGTTATTTTTACTTCAACCTTATTTTTACTGCAACCTTGAGACCTTAATTAATGAAGTAAATTTGAATTCTTTGTTATTACAATTATTTTACCAAGTTGAGTGTTACTCCTTTAGTTACCATGCATGTTTAATTATAGGCATTCCCCTAAAAAGTGATTTGACTACACCTCAGAATGTAGAGAATAGAAAAGTCAATATGTTTATTATTTTATGCTCTGAGTTAATTCCTGTGTATGTGAAATGTGACATCAGAGGGTACAAGAATATTTTCCTGTTAGGCAAATGTAGAGAGAATGTGAAAATATTTGAGAAATACCAAAGGGCAGGGTTTGAAATAACATATCTACTGGCCTGAGGGCATAACTCATTTTTAGTTCTGACCATGATAAATAATAGAAATGACAATATTTCAAAACATGGTGCATTTACATATATTTTTATCTATTATGTATGATAAAGTTATAGCTGTTTCTTATGATTTGAGGAGAGATATAATAGGAATCAAGGCCCACTAATCATGTTTTCCTCCAAGAAAATTTTTCAAGGTCTAAAGAATAACGTGGCACTTTGATTTACTAGAATTAATGTATTTATAAACAAGAAATTCCAAGTACTTATCCATATGAATTTATATACCAGTACATACACATAAAAATTTTATTTTCATAGATTTCTGTACCATTAACAATTCAACCGGGCATGAATTGCACTTTATGGCATGTTCAAAACTTTCTGATTTTCATTTTTGAAAATGTATTCTTAAATACTTTAAAATATCTAACTTTATTATTTGATAGAAAGATTGAATGTAGAGCATATAACTATGCTGTTTTCCTCACACAAAGCTTGAGCCACAAAAGGAACTCAGTAACTACGGAATGATTAAATTGGTACCATGATTAACAATAGAATTACTAATTATTCTTCCAAACAGGAAAATAGATGAAGGCAGGGGGGACCAAAGAGTGGTTCAAATTGAAAATAGATTTTTTTTGTACTGAGTTAACTGATGATGCTCCAGAGAATATGCCTAAGTCCCAATCCCTGAACTGATGAAAATTACATTGAGTGGAAGAAAATATGGCTATCTTTTGGAATTTGATAGAATTAATTTGTTCTGGATTATTTAGATGAGCTCCAGATGCAGTAAGTTATGACCTTAAGGGAATACCAAGGGTGTCTGAGGAAGAAAAGGCAATATCAGAATGGAATCATTTAATACAAGCTGAAGAACTTCTGCCAGCAGCAGAATCTAGACTAGGCAAAGAGCCTACCCCCGTCTAGAGACTCAGCTGGAAGGAGAATCCTGTCAACACCTTGCCTTAAGTTTTCTGAACTCCTCCAAAGTTGTAAGACAATATTTTTTAAGCTACCCAGCTCATAGAAAATAACAAACACATATTATAAGCCATTATTTCAAAATGCTGCAAGGTAATACAACTGCTTTATCATTGATCTTCATGCTGAACCAATGAATATGTAGATTCTCACACTTCAGAAAAATTGCTGGACTGTTTTGCATGTGTCTCCTGAGGAGCTAATTTTAACAAATGTCCAGGTGTAAAGGTAGAGCCAGTGCGGGAAAGCAACCTGGGAGGGGGAGGAATGATCGCTTGCATGAGTACCATATGTTGAGATGAATTGTCCATTGCCAAAGACTTCAGGTGGTTCCTTAATACTGAAAAATTATTCCCATTATACACTGCAGCAGTGACAAGAAATCTCCAGAGCTTGATTATACAAGAGACCAGATGATAGAGAAACTGTGGACAGTATTAAATGACAATAGTGGATATGAATGAAAATATGTTTTATCATTTTTTTAAAAATAAAGAACAAGGCTATTAGTGATTAAAAAATACAGTATTGATTTAAAAAGTTAAACTAGTCTATACCTTTCTAAATTGCTTTAATTCATATTCATAATATAGCAACATATAGCAACCTAGATGTTATCTCTAAGTTGCTACAATCATGTTCACAGAAACTATTATTTCTCACGAAATGTTTCTGTTTGGATATGCTAATATCTAAGAAGATTGAAATTTATTAACAATTTGGGAAACATGAATGCGAAAAGTAACCATCTCTTTATGTTTAGCTTTTAATTAGCTACTTAAATAAAATTTAGAAATTGTCACATTACAACATGATCATAAATATTTATCACTCTAAAATTTAGATAAACATTAAGTAATAATCACTGCTTCCTATACAGTTCATGAAGTAAAACTAGGGTACCCTTGTAACTTGCAGAAAATGCATCCATACAGATATATGATATTTAGATTTATAAAACATTTAGGAACTTGATCAATGGGTAATAACATTAGATTCTTTTAAATAAAAATATTAAAAGAGTGACATGTTTATCAAAAAGTAAAAATAGATAAATATTAATTCAGTTTATTGCATGAACTATAGTTGCAATTGAGTATAAAACAATAGTTATGCACTTTTCTCTCAACTGATAAACTGCACACTCAGGAAATTGACAACTATTTGTGAGAACCTACTGAATGTGAGGTGCTATATAAGAAAGGAGCAAAAGAACAAGAAGTAATCTCAAAAACTATCAGATTTACATTTACAGAATATCTTGAACCTATAAAAATCTTTCAGTTATACCTATTCATTTATTCTCTATTTGGATATAATAATAGCCTTTTATTTGACCTTTGATTTCTGCCTCTATTCCACTCATTTCACTTCCTCTATTCTTGGAATTAATTTCCTAGAAGATCTGTCTTACTATGAATTTAGAAATATTGGTGTTCTTCATGTACTATAAAATATACATAATTTTCAGTGCCATATATTCACAAACTATTTGTTTATATTCCAAAGAAAATATATTGGTTTATCTCTTTCTCAAGTCTATAAGGTACTTTAAATGCAATT